AGTTAAGCGAAATTAGTTGGGAGGTATATTGTGTAATTATTTAGTGGGGTATGAATGTAAATGAATATATGTTTGTAATTATTTTACTTTTATAGGGTATTTGCTTAGTTTCCTCTAAAGAAAAATTTGCGGGCATAAGTTGGGGTTATTAAATAAATGTATAGGCAACAAAAAAAATGATTCAACAAATATGATTATATGTAATGTATCAATATTATATTACACGTGTATAATTGTGTATATATATGATATATATAATTGTGTATATATATATTGTATATACAATATTAATATATTGCAGTACTTCATATTATTTAACGAGTTGATTTTTTTTTAAAAATAAAAGCAATAACAATACTAAGATGATTTTTTAAATAATAAGTGATAATTGAGTTATTTTGGTAAGAAATTTTGAATTATATAATGGCTATTTTATCTAATTTTTTCGCATAGATAAATTTATATTCTTCTATCGTAATATCACACATCCTATCATGACTTTAGTTTCTAAAGTTTCTCTATTAAACATTTCAGTTTATTTAAAGACTTTGTAGGGGTGAGAATAAGAATTTAGATAAGATATGACTCCGAGTTCAATTGTTTAATAGGCCAACAGATCATCATGGTAAATCATTATTTAAAATTAGCCGTGTGAATACAAGCATATTTTTGTCAATTTGGTAAAATTTTATGAATAATTAACAAAATAAGTAGAATGAAAATAGTATCAAATCTAATCAATTCAGCATAATTTGTGAACGGTTGAACAATACCGACTAATTTTGTCAACAATAAAATTTACAATTAAATAGAATAGAGATTATATTCAACATCGTGCCTTGCCTGCCTGACTTGTACAAACGTTATTTTTTAGGGAAAATTGTATATAATAGCAAACTATTAATTCAAATTAAATGCTATAAACATAGTTTGATTTAATTGTACCCCATAGCAAACTATTGCTATTTCGTCTCTCTCCTTGTGAATCTCGCTCGCCACTCTCGTTGCTATTTCTTCTCTCTTCTTGTGAATCTCGCTCACCACTCTCGTTGCTATTTCTTCTCTCTCCTTGTGAATCTCGCTCGCCACTCTCGTTCTCTCCCTCACCTATCTCGCTTTTTATACAAACGCAAATGTATAAAATGCATTTGTGTTTGTATAAAGTGAGAGAAAATTGTATATATACATATATTTTTGTTCCCCTCTCTCCCCTTTCCCAGATCTCGCTCGCCACTCTCCCAGATCTCGCTCGCCAGTCTTTCCCTCGCCTCTCTCGCTTATACAAATAGAAATGTATAAATTGCGTTTTTGTTTGTATAAAGCGAGAGAAAATTGTATATACACATGCAAATACATATATCTTCGTCCTATACACTTATAATTATACAATAAAAATATTCCCCTGCCTAGTTCTGTTTTGCCTTTCTCTCTTTCTCACTTTATACAAACACACAGATTATACAATTGATCTTTTGTATATGTATACTAAAACAGAAACATATTATATACAACTGCTTTCTTTTGTATATGTATAGAGAAATATACATATTTATGTTTGCTATGAAGCACAATTATTCCAACTATACCTATAGTATACATATATGATTTTTGTGTTTGCTATATGTGAAAGTTGCTCTATTTTTTATTCTTTAGATTATTAGATATATAACGGAGGTTATTTTTGGCACAAAATTTTAAAACAGAGACAAAAGCTAAACATCAACTGCTAAAAAATAATCCTAAGTTTTGCAAATCATCTGAACAGACTTTATGACCATATATGAACTTTAAGGTCATAGAGCACTTAAAGAATCGGGCTTCTTACCTAATTGTATATGTGACAAAACAAATTTAACGAAAATGACACATGTATATATGTATCGAAATATATAATTAGTGTATATTCATGTATATATAATGTATAACTATGTTTCAAAAATGTATATATACATTGTTTATACAATATCATACATTACAACCATTCATCTTCCTCAACGAACTATTTTTTCTCTTAATCCCAACCAACTCGAAGCTCCTTTAAACAGTCCCACATTGTAGACATGAACTTTTCTCGAAGTTTTGATTCTTTTGATATATTATTAATTCACTCGAAACAATTCATATCTATGGCATGTCAAATTTTAAAATTTGAATTTCGAAACTCTTCCACAACGAATTGTTCCATTTTTCTTTCTCATGCACTTTCTTTCTTTCTTCTTCCATGAAATAATAAAACTTAGTTGTATGTGCTTAATTTTGAACTAATTCTCGAAAAGAAGCTAGGACTAGAATTTTTTTTATATGAATCATCATTTGATCACTACTAAGAAAACCACACATTATTTGATATCTTATGTTAAAGAGAAAAAGAAGAAAAAGAAAGAATGAGTGAGATCGAGAATACCCGTACGAGAAGATTATACGATTATAAACAAGATATATTAATTATTCACTTTATATACATGTTATAAGTTTTTGTTTTTTGCTGAACTACATGTTATAAGTTGTATATGCATTACATGTATATAATATACACTAGTTATACACTTCCTCTACAAAGTGTATATAAATGTACGAGCACTAAAAAATGGTATATGCATTATATACAGTGTGATGCACTTTTCAGATAATGTATATACATATTTGTCAATATCTACTATATAATCTTTCACTCTTAATTTTTTGTATAATTTGTGTACAATAATTGTATAATTAATCTTTTGATCCTCCTCGAGCTTACTGTCGTCTTTCGAATTAAGTTTCCAATTTAATTGGTGTAGACGTTGAAGGATCAACTGACACAAGTATATGAAGTGTATAAACTATACATTAATTATATACATATTATACATTTATTATATACTAATATTACACAACGTATAAATGAAGAGGACTAAAGAACGGTCATACTTGATACAAAAAAATATTGTGTACCATTATGAAATCGCGAAAAAAGAAGAAGAAGGTGATATGTTGGTGTTCGCTTCAGTAGTATGAGAAGGAAAAAAGGAGAGAGTCTATGGTGGTTGTCGTCAGAGGCGGATTCACGTGTGCACCCGTTAACTTCAGAAAATTATATATATATATAGAGAGAGAGAGAGAGACACACACACATCTTGAGACATGACATACTATATTTTATTAGGCATCCAAAGGCCTTAAAACTATTTGGGTGCGCTGGTTTAAATGTTGCACGCTTCTGGTGTGAGGATGCTGGTTCAAAACCATCACTCCACAAAGCAAATTTTATTTAGTATAGTCAGTTAATTCATATTTATATGTTAGTGCATTAATTCTATATTTTTATGTTTAATAAAATTATCATACAAATTGACATTAGATAACATACTTTAACTTACATGCATTAGTCATTGGTGGTACACCCCTCATCTTCAAAGCTATAGTAGGTTGAAGAAGTAAGAAGATGAGAAGAAAAGAAGAAACACGAGACAGAGAGAGGGGTGAATTTTAGGCTTTGACTATAACTTGTAATTGTTAATTAAATTGTGCTTAAAGTGTATTTCGTGTGAAATGCTATATTGTTGGGTCATTAAGGACTCGTTTGGCTATACAAAATATTTCACTTCTTTATGATTATTTTTTTCAGTTCATTGGAAAATTATTGTTTTCATGAAATTTTCAAATCCAACTTAACGTTGTATATTAAATTTGGAACACAATTTATAACATATTTTCCAATTAACTACTAAATGTTAGCTTAGTTTGGTAAGTTCTCTTTAAAAATATATTATACTTTATCGATCATTTGTACCAAACAAATAATTAAATATTAAAAATTATAAATATAAATTACTAAATAATATAATTTTTTTTATATAAAAAGTTTATATATAAGCACATAATGCACGTTCAACGATCTCCCATATATAAATCAAAATTTTGTAAGAAGTTAAAAGTAGGGGTGCGTATCTGTCGGTTCGGTTCGATTTCATGTATTATCGGTTCGGTTTATCGGCTTTCGATTTTTAAATATGTTAAACCAATATGAGATTTTTTATCGATTTAGGTCCTTAACGGTTCGATTTTCATTTAACCAATAAGAAAATACTTATAAAATAAATATATGACTTCTCTAATAAATTTGACGCGACAACACAATAATGTAATGAAAAAACTATACAAGTGTAACACAAAGAAAAATAAAGAGGAATATGGTTCTTACTTTAGATTTTGACATTTTGTATAATGTGAAGTTATGAACTAAAAGTCACTTTGAAGTGTGAATTGAAAGCTGAAAGATAAAGACAGTAACTTGTAAGATATTGAGATTAATATATAATTTTTATGTACAAGTAAATGTAATAAATTACTAGTCTTAATGAGTTACTGGTTTATCTAATAATCCAATATTAAAAATCAATACCGAATCGATAACCCGATAATATTTTTTCATCAAACTATTAAAAAATCATTAATCTAATAACCCAATAACAATAAACCAATAACAATTTTTTTGGTTCGATTTATCAATTCGGTATTTGCACTCCGTAGTTAAAAAGTACTTCTTATAAAATAAAGGGATAAGGGTCTTAAAAATATCCCAACTTTGGTCGGATTTGCTTTTGCAATACTAAACTTTCATAAGGGCCTATTACCTCTCTAGACTATTTAATACCGTATTTTTTACCCCTGAACTATTTAATAGTGTATTTTAAAGATATATATGTGCCCACGTGGACACATTACTATTTATAATTTTACATTATTTTATATGTCCACTTGGGAAAATATATATGTTTAAAATACGGTATTAAATAGTCTAGGGAGGTAATAGGTCCTCATGAAAGTTTAGTATCGCAATAGCAAATCCGACAAAAGTTAAGATATTTTTCAGACCCTTATCGCTAAAATAAACCTTGCATTATACTTCTATTTTTTTTTAATAATTTGATATTTAGAATTAATTTTGGATTGAGGGGAACACAATCTCCCATATTTAAATAAGTTTTCATTTTTAGAAAATTGCTCATTTTGCTCTTCAATTCATCGTTCTCTCGTTTAGTCAGTCTTTCCTTAAATTATCAGATTTGCAGAAAGTGGGCACTACTTTCCCTTCTCTTCGTCGATTGTAGTAGAAATCGACTATACTTCTCTCTCGGTGGAGTAACATGGCGGATGCTTACTGGAGATACACCAGCGGTGGGCAGCAGCAGGCGGCTCCGGCAGCGCCGGCGTCTCTTGCTCCATTCGTCGCAAAACGGCCTCGAAGCGAATACGGTATCTAAATCAACTCTTATGTGTTTAAATAATTTAAGATTTCGGCATATTTTTTGCTCAATTGGAAACGTTTGTAGAAACTAGGGTTTCAGTCAAAAACTTAAATTTTTTTATGGCTTGTAGAAATTAGTGTTTATTCCTTTACTCTTTCAGTCAAAAACATATTTTTATGCCTTTTTTTGTTGCGGTTGGTGTGATATAGTTATGGTAGGAATTGGGAGATAACTCACCAGGAATGTCTTGTATACTCGTCAAGAATGTCTTTGGTATTAGAGAAGTAAGCGGAGGAAATTAAAAAAAGCTGTAGCAAAAACTAAATTTTTATGGCTTGTAGAAACTAGGGTTCTTTCATTTACTTTCTCAGTCAAAAACTTAATTTGTATGCCTTTTTTGTGTTGGTTGGTGAGATATAGTTATGGTAGGAATTGGGAGAATATTCACCAAGAATGTCTTGTATACTCACTCATCAAGAATGTCTTTGGTATTGCAGAAGAAAGTGGAGGAAATAAAAAAAGCTGTAGTATATGTTTGTAGTCCCCCTAATAGGGCAATGTTTTTTTTTTTGGCTTGATACTAGAGCTTTATTTTGGTGTTTATTCATTGGATGACCCTTTTTTGTGGATGGGATTATTTAGTGTGCAAGGAGAAATAATTCAGGAGAATGCTAGAATTGAAGGGGAGATAGTGGAATTTTATCAAAGTCTATATACAGAAACAGTTCATTGGACACCCGCTTACCAGTTTCCAAACTGTCTAGTTCTATCAACAGTGGAAATGGAGAGGATGCAAGGAAGTTTTGAGGAAGAAGAGGTGTTGAGATGTGTAAAGATGTGCTCTACAGACAAGACAAGGCACCAGGGCCTGATGGTTTTACCTTGGGATTCTTTATCAAATGCTGGGAAGTGGTGAAATATGATATAATGAATGCTTTTCATAATTTTCATGAGAAGGACATGTTTGAAAGGAGCTTCAATGCTACCTTTATTACACATTCCAAAGAAGAAAGGTGCCAAAATTCTAAAGGATTTCAGGCCAATAAGTTTGATAGGTAGTATATACAAAATCTTCTCTAAAGCACTCATAGAGAGGTTAAAAGGAGTGATGGCAAAACTGGTGGACTCACAACAAATGACCTTTATTGAAGGAAGGCAAATCATGGATGCAGTTTTGGTAGCTAATGAAACAGTGGGATCCAGACAGAAGCAAGGAAAACCAGTGATTTTTTGCAAACTTGACATAGAGAAAGCCTATGACCATGTCAATTGGGCCTATCTATTGGGAGTGCTAAATAGGATGGGGTTTGGAAAAAAGTGTATAAACTGGGTAAAATTTTGCATATCCATTGTGAGTTTTTCAATTATCATCAATGGCTCACCAACAGGGTTCTTCAAGGCACAAAAGGGTAAGGCAAAGTGACCCTTTGTCACCATTCTTATTTTTATTAGCAATGGAAGGTCTCAACAGCATAGTCAAAACAACAAATATGAATGGGTGGTTGAGAGGTTTCAATGTAGCTAAAGAAGGAAGGGATAATCTAGAGGTGATTTATTTGCAGTATGCAGATGATACCCTCATTTTTTGTGATGCAGATGAAGAACAAATCAAAATTTTGAGGGTGATATTGGTTCTCTTTGAAGGGATGTCTGGATTGCACATCAATTGGGGAAAGAGTTTTCTTTATCCGATCAATGAGGTCACAACCATGCAATCCCTAAATGCAATTTTGGGAGGAGAGATTGGTAGTCTGCCAGCAATGTATTTGGGTATGCCTTTAGGAGCAAACTCAAAGTCTAACGAAATCTGGAACAATGTGGTTGAAAAATGTGAGAAGAAATTGTCAAGGGGGAAAAGACAATACTTATCACTAGGGGCAAATTAACCCTCATCAACTCCGTGTTAGATTCCTTGCCAACTTATATGATGTCCTTGTTCCCTATACCAGCAATAATCATTAGTAGGTCGTACAAAATTAGGAAGAAGTTTTTGTGGCAAGGAAATAAAGACAGGAAAAGTTACCACTTGGTCAAATGGGAATCTCTGATAATTGACAAGAAGTTTGGAGGTCTGGGGATAAAGAATCTGGATACTCATAGTAATAATGAAATGGCTATGGAAGTATGCCAATGATAAAGAGACACTATAGGGAAGAGTCATAAAAGCTAAGTATGAGGAGGAAGACATATGGATGACTAAGGAAATTACAACTCCTTATGGAGTTAACTTATGGAGATCCATCAGAGATCTCTGGAATGAACTGAAGTGCATCTTCAAGATCAAGGTGAACAATGGGGATAAAACTATGTTCTGGAAAGATGAATGGCATGAAGAAGACAACTTAGAAAGGTTATTTCCAGATAGATCTCATTAGTACTACACCAACAGAGTACCATGGCAGAATTATGGACAAAAGAGGGATGGAGATTCAACTTCAAAAGGCAATTCAATGATTGGGAAATACCAAGAATGGCAGATTTCATCAACAAGATTGAGCAATTCAGTGAGTGGGTTGGGAACAAATGAAGATGAACTATGGTGGAAGGGGGATGAGAAAGGCACATACAAAGTGAGCAAAGCGTACAGGAAAATGAACCACAACCAACAGCCAAGCAGTTGGCCATGGAAGAACATTTGGAAAACCAAAATACCATATAAAGTGGCATGCTTTGTGTGGCTTTTGACAAAGGAGGCAGTGCTTACCCAAGAGAACCTAATGGAAAGAGGGATAATTTTAAGCCCCAGGTGCTTCTTGTGTGGGGAGCAGGCAGAAACTGTGAATCATCTATTCCTACATTGTAGAATCACAAGACAACTATGGAGATTGTTTTTGAACCTCAGAGGAATAGCATGCCTAGGAAAATTACAGAGGCCTTAAAAAGTTGGGAACAAGCTGGGGTTGTTGGCCAAGAATAGAGGCAAGTGGAGGATAGTCCCAACAAGCATTTGGTGGACAATATTTTGAGAGCATAGAGAACAATATGCAACAAATTAAGCTTAATTGCATCTTGCTATTGTGTTTTTGGTGTAATCAGTTACTTTTAAATGATCCTGTCTCTATTATTGATGTTTTAGACTCATTATAGACATAGGATCATAGAATCATAGATGTAGGTAGTACTTTGTAAATATGGGGCTACTACAACTCTTGTAAGATTCGGATTCTAACATATATAGACAAAGTTACAAGTTTCAAAAAAAAAAGTAGTGGTGAACCTACAATTTCCCATTGAGGTTGACAGTCAGTGTAAAACTAGCTAAAAAGGGGCTAGGATTCCATCACATTGTCACCTGGACATGAGCTAGGATTCCTACATCATGAACAATTGACACCCCCGGTGTGGTGCAAGATAGGAGATGATTCCTACCATCATGGACATATGATGATAAAAGGCGATTGTCTAAGTAGGTAGTTCAAACTAGTGTTCAAGGGAGCGTGAAGCGGAAAAAAGCAACAAGGCCTTGCTTCACTCAAGCGAAGTGTGAAGCACAATTTTTAAAAGAAGACCAAAATAAACCTTCCACAACGACAATATATATAAGCAAATGTTCAATTTAAAGACTAATGTAGATATCACAAAATTCTTCACAGTACAAGCAAAATCAATACAAAAACATAAACTTTAGCAATTCTTCCTTGACAAGCAGTAATGCTTGGATTACCACGGATGAAATGATTCCTGGGACAATAAATTCCTTCTTCTGTGATATTGTTACAAAAAAGACATTGAATATAAGTCTTGTCGGTATTGCTAACTTTAAGCAACGAAGCAGACTCTGCCTTAACACTGGTTGAACATAGGCTCTTTGGTAGGATTCCTGTATTACCTTAAAAGAAAGGACAAGTGGTATTGCATGCCTACAAGAAACTGAATGTAAAGAGGAAAAGGTTGGAGAGATTTGCAGCACGTGTTATAAATTGTGGATAGACAAAAATGGATAACAAGTGATTAATATTGTTGAAGTAGGAAGTAGGCATAAAGTTGTAGAGGTAAGGCATGTTGGAATGTGATTCTTTCACTAAACCTTGTATGGGAAAGGAGACAATTAATGTCAAAAGTACTTGTGCAATCAATTCCTTTACAATTAATTAATAAGGGAGAGATTGATCTGCTGCATCCGTTTGCAATTCTAGTCATTAGGGTTAATATGTAATTCAAATGAAATGGAGCAGCTCTGTTGGCTGAAATGGTGGTCCTGTAAAAATGTTTGGATGGGTTGACCTATTTGACCCAACAGTACAAACCACCTTTGGAGAATTCTAGTCGTCATGCCATGTGTAACTTTAGTTTAGTGATTTAATCCTGCACAAAACACCAACGGTCACTCATTCAGATAAAGCAAAGGTCCTATTTGTTATATTCTTAAATTTAAAGGGGAGTGTAACTTAATTAAGGAGACAACAAGAGTTGAACCAATGTATATATTGAGTAGTAAACTCCTACTTATGCTTTTGGGCTCATAAATAGAACCTCTATGTTCTTAAGTCGATCAAGATTTTATTTTATTTGGACAAAATAAGTATTGAGAAGTGGTTTATGTCAATTATTACGTTTTCACAGTTTGTTTTTGCAGGAAAAACTTAAATGCTTCAAGAAAGCTGTGATAAATAAATTAATCATCTGTAATTAGTACTCATACTGCTATGAATAATCTTGAATGTCATCTCAAACAATTTATGTACTCATTACTGTTCCTTTTTTATCAATTGCCTTTCTTTTTCTTGTTCCAATAATATTTGATAACGTAAGTGCATTTTTCTGTATCCATAGCATTTGTAGAGATGTTCCTTCCTGATAATATATAGTTCTCTTATGCTAATACCTCAGTCTTATTACTTGCTGCATCACGGGAAAAACAAAATTCTCCATTGAAAAATGAAAAACTATGTTACAACCAAGGGTGGATTAGGGGGTTGCCAGGTGTTCACCCAAACCCTCACGACAAAAAATTGCACTATATATGTAAGGTATTTTTTTATGGATATATATAGATTTTGAATCACCTAAACACAAGGCTAGAGGTTGACTCAATGGTTTAGGGGTTTAAAATTCATCTTGAGGTTCCAAGTTCAAACTTCATGCACTACTTGAAATAGGTTAACAACTTTAACTTTATTGCACTAGATGTCCAGTTAAAGAATTCAATTATTATATCATATAATTTTAGTATATAATTTATGTCAACTATTATCTTCACTTATGAGTACAACTCAAGTTTAACAAAGTTAATTATCTACCTAAGTTGGATAATATAAATCTATCTTTTGCAGCATTACAGTTATTATTGAAAAAGTAATTGAAATATGCCTTTTTTTCAAAAGAAAGAGACAAGTCTAAGTTAAGAAAAAAACTAAAATGATTACTAAGTTCACAATCATATATGTAATATGTATATAAATAATGTAGTAATTCTCTTAATATGTATACACAACCTTTTCCAAAAATGTTGTCCAATGATTCACTCTGTTTTTACTTGGGCAAGATTCACTCTGTTTTTACTTGGGCTACTAACTTATATATTTTTTAAATATCAGCTTGTCATGGTTATTTTAATAAGCTTTTTGTCCAATTTATTTGATTGAGTGAGAAAATTAGATAAAAATAAGGATAAGAAGTTTTATAATCAAACAAATATTGTGGCATATTTAAGATTACAAGTACTAAGAATCTTATGGTCATTCAAATGCTATGACATATATAAAATATATACGTTTCATAAATTTTTCTTTTTTAAAACTATGTGTCCGGTCAAAACTACAACACCATATCTTGTCAAACTATGTCATTTGAATTGAAACAAACATAATGACAAATACCACCTAAAAAATATCTACATATGCCGGCATCATTTCACCTAGTATGATTAGATGACGAAAGTAAAACTAAATTTCAGAAAAAAATATAGAACATCGGTTCAGAAGATTCCAAGGAACCAACATTTTTTTTTTGATAACCGAGAAATCCGTCTGTGACCCGCCCTTTGGACCAATCGCAGCCTTCTAAACTCGGTGGATAGTGGGCCCACCCCTCTACCCTTCTCCACTTAAATACCAGGCTTCGCTTTGCGTGGTGTGGGGCTTGAACCTACGACCTAAGCCACAAATCCTCCACCTTTTGCCACTCGAGCTAGGCCTTGGGGGCAAGGAACCAACATATTTTTTGTAAGGAGAGATCTAAATAGTCATGTGAGTTGAGATGGTAATTGCTTTGACCAAGCACATGCGAGAAATATATAGTACTAGGAATGACGAAGGAAAGATATTATAGAATGTAAGATGTTGCTTTAGCTTATGATTTAGTTATAGTTACTCATACTTGAAAGATAGAAAATATCACTTAATAACATTTAAGAGTGGGTTAATCATAGTCAAACAAAATTTATCCTTTCCCAAAGATGTGATGAACCACATGTAAGGATTGCAACATTATACCAAGGAAAGCTATGACTATGAAACATAAACAGGTAGTCTTGAATGTAAATCGAAGAAGAATGTGAAAGGAGATGAGTCACAAATAACCGAGAAGTCAGTGATGGGAATAAAAGGGTAACTAGATAGCAAAAAACTAAAAGAGGAGGGAGCATGGGATATATATGGGAAGTTGGGAATGAAGACATCCCATGGAGCATTAAGAAAGGAACAAGTAAAGTTTTAGGAGTGTCTAAAAGCTCTAGCACCTCAAATTTATGCCTAGCAAATGCACCGGTTGTAGGTGTAAGATCATAGGGTGTTTTAAGAGGGGATGAGACAAACCTAATGGAGGCAGTTATGTTCTAGGTGCTTTTTGTGAAACTAAAATGAAATAGAGACGACAAATTATCTCTTCTTACATTGCAAGGTGACTACACAACTTTAGCAGATTTTCCTAGACCTTAGGGGTTTCAGATGGACTATGCGAAAAAATATTTCAGATATGTTAGCATACTGGAACAAAGATGGGAATGTGTTGGGACATAAGGAGAGATGGAAGATTGTCCTTGCCTTCATTGGGTGGACAATTTGGAAGGAAAGGAGTCAAGGATGTTTTGAAAACAAGAGCATCCCTTTCCAGAGCTTAGAGTTTGAAGATTAACTGTTTGGTGACCAATTATTTTTGGTGTATACATACCCTACATAATGAGGTGGAGGAAATTACTTTTATTTTATAGTTTATGAGGGTGTAGGTGGTAAAAGGTTTTGGTGTTTCCCTCATTTACTCTTGTAATTACTGCTGATATACACTATTGGTGTATTTCTTGTCTATAAAACTGTTAACTTTCTCAAAAATAAAATAATATTATGGAAGGAAGTTAAGGCACAATGGAATACCAAGATTATATAGGCAATACCAATTACCTCCTCTTTCCCCATTTATGTGACACACTTGCTTCTTTTAGGTCTGTTAAAAAAGGTTGTGTCCTTTCTATATATAGAGATAATTTGACTTTAGAATTCTCATTTTACCATTAATGGGATGATTCATCGCTACACAAATGTACAAGGCTTATCTTAGAACATAATTTCCAAAAGTTTCTTTTGTCTTTCTTAAATTTTTTACCAAGTTAAACAGTGTCATATAAATTGAGAAGGGTGTAGTTGGGATTAGTTTTTTTAGTCATGTTGGTACATTTACTTTTAATGTTTATTAGCACTGAGCACTCTTTTAGTCTTGTTAAAGGTTTATGTACCAGTAGAAAATGGAGAGTACTTCTAGTGCTAGAGAGAATAAGAGCCTGTTTGGATTGGCTTAAAAAAACAGCTTTTAAGTCAAAAATGAAAAGGCAAACTGAAATAACTTTTAAGTCAAAAAATAAAAAGTAGGGGGAGACCTACTTTTGGTTTTTAACTTATTTTAAGTCATTTTAAACTTATGTTAAGTCATTTTTGACTTATTTTAAATTATTTTTTATATTTGCCAAACACTTGCAGAAGTTAAAACCTGACTTAAAAGTAGGTTTGACCAACTTTTAAGCCAATCCAAACGCCCTCTAAGTGTTATGATATTGGACCGAGATAGCTTAATTGCAGTGATGGTTTTTAACCCAAAAAATCTGAAATTTTGGTTTTCCTTTTCTTGTTTTTAGTGTTTTAGTTTTAGGATTTTATAACTTAGGTTTTTGATTTTTAAGAAAAAGGCTCGATTTCTTTACTAGTTTCAAAAAAAAGAAAAAGGCTTGATTACATTTTATGACCGGACTAAAATATATTTATGGGACACATATGGAGAAACAATAATTTTTGGGCCATGGGATCCCTAAGTTACTAACTAAACTGGGTTTCTTAATGATAACAAAGTGATTGAGTACAAAAGGAGGCAGAGAAAAGGAAGGTATGGAACTCCTTGCCGTCTTTGGAGTCTTGCATCTTTGGTTCTAACCTATTGGCAGCACTAGATTTCCCTTGAACTATAACACATCAGATATTTTGATGAATAGAAAGTTGGAAAGGATTCAGAAAATTAATTACCAGAAGACGAGCTGTTCCTTAAACAAATTTACTTCTAGTAATGAATCTGCTTTGAGGGTGTATAAGCTATTTGATGATTTATGCTCAGTTTAGGGTGGAAAGATGAAGTGTTTCCTAAGCACAAGTCCATTTTGCACAAGACCCAAATATAATCCAAGACTATATGTTGCAGAGGTTTTATAGAAGAGTAAGCATATTCAATATGTCAAGATAGAAGTCATGCACGGTGGTATTCAGAAATCAATCATATTCTGGAGATTGCAATTTCTATTATTATATATCGATCTAACCATATAGGCAAGTTGAAATTAGTCCTTAATTCAAAATCATTAAAAGGTTCTAAGGGGAAAGAAGGGTTCAGGAAAAATAGTGAACATTCTACATGAGCTAAAAATGGGTGGAACAGCAGCGGCCTGAAATGATAAAAACCGAACTGAGTAATCTTCTGTTCGATGATCACTGATCAGTTCATGTATTCAAAAACTAATACTCCTTCCTGTTCAATTTTGCTTGTCCTACTTTCCTTTTTAGTTCGTTTCAAGAATAAAGTTTCTTTCCTTTTTTCTGGCATACTCTTTAATTTCAACTTTCCATGTGGCATGTTTAAGACCACAATATTAAAGAACATTATAGTACATTCAACATATCTTTAACTTAACACAAGAAGATTCAAAAGTTTTCTTTAGCCACCAGACGATCAAATTGAAATGGACTGAGTAACTAACAACACCTAACCGAAGTTTTAAAACAGAACTGAATCGATCAATTACCCACCCATAATGAACAATAATGATGCATATAACTGACTCTAACTAGCTTAGGATTGATGTGTAGTAGTTGACTAGTTGTATGTATCAGTATATCAATAAAAAGTATGGAAGTGCAATGATATTATTGGCTAAGATTGTGCTAGTCCACAGCCCACTGGTACTAAAGATTTTAAGTTGCAACTCTGCATGACTACAAGTTGCTTTAACCAAACCTTTAAAAAGTTTATTAGGGAAATCAGGGTAAAAATTGTTTCAACTTTCAGGTTTGGTTCATGTTTGGTTATCTCACGTTCATGCTGATATTTGTTGTACTTTAATTAGCTTAATTTTACTATTCTTTTCTTGTTTGTTTGTGCTCATATATTACCAGGAAAAAATATAAGTTGCTGGCAGCCTGACCCACAATTTAGTGCTTCCTTCTCTCTTTCTGCAATTAATTTCTTTTGGTGTTTTCCACTTTTTAGATGCTCCAAGTGGTCCTGAATATCCTGGCTATTATGGCCGTGATGCTGAAAGGGGAATGCCTCGAGTCGGGAGAGACGCAGATCCTATCGAAGCATCCTATGAGCGCTACCTCCGTAGTGGGGTACTTAATTTTTATTTTCTTTTGAGGTTGGTTTCTTGATACTGTATAGGTCTAATAAAGTCGTAAAATTTCCAGCAAATTTCCTCCCATGTTGCCAGTGAGTCTGCAAGATCCATGCATAGTGGAATTAGTGGCCATCCTATTGACGATCCACGTGTTATGGGCATCGGGGGATCCGACCCACTAGCTTTTAAAAACAGGAATGTTGGAATGGTAGGTGGCAGACCAGAAGCTACCCTTCCTCCGGATGCTAGCAGTACGTTGTTTGTAGAGGGTTTGCCTGCGGATTGTACAAGAAGAGAGGTGTCACGTATCCTTGTGTGGCAAGATTTTCTGTTCTTATTGTCGTATGGCCCAATCTAGTTTTTCCCTTGACTTAAGTTTTTGCAGATTTATTCCGCCCTTTTTTAGGTTACAAAGAAGTTAGGCTGGTACCAAAAGGATCAAGACATGTAAGAATACCTTTCACTTCTTATCGAGGTCTAGTTCAGGTCTAGTTCTGTATACTGTTATTTTGGGTTCACCGCTCTATCAACTTATGCAGGCTGGAGGCGATCCTTTGATTCTTTGCTTTGTTGATTTCGTAAGTCCCCTTCATGCAGCTACTGCAATGGATGCCTTACAAGGTGAGCTTGACAAACCCTTCTGTAGTCTTATCTCGTGACTGCTAGTAATACAGTTAGCCTTCATATACTTGCCCCTTTTGGTAACCTGCAAACACAAGTACTCCCCCGATCTCGATTTATGTGGTACTGTTTGACCGGACACAAAGTTCTGATTAATGGTAAAATTGGAATTTTAATTTTTTGTAAATGTAAAAATGTGACATTCGTCTTGCCACAGAAAAAAGGAAGTGCGTCATATAAGTTGGGGCAGAGGGATATAAGATTGAGGTCTTCAAAGTTTAAACGAGAGTAAGAAGAAATATTTTTGCTTCTAAGTTGCAAAATTAGGATTATAACTCTTTCTGGGCGTTTGGGCATAGAAAATGTGATAATAATACATATGCAATCCTGTCAAATTGTGCCCAAAATTTTGCTTACTTGCAAAAACCTCTAGAATAGATTACTCACTCCTACACTGGCACCCTTTATTTACGATTCGTAAAAGTATAACTCTAAGTAGGCAACCGGACATAAAAAATGTGATATTTGAAAAAGGGTATTTGAAAATTGAGTTGTGTTTGGACATGCATTTGATTTGAAAAAAGTTCAAATTTGTGAGTGGGAAAAAAATTTCTCTTGAACAACTGGTCAACCACTTTTCGAATTTTAAACTCATCTTCAAATTCTTTTTGAAAAAATTGTTCCAAATGTATAACCAACTGTTGTTTTGAATTTTTCTTTTGAAAAAAGTGAATTTTGTATGGACAAACGGGAACAATATTTTATTGGCAAGTCTAAGTAGATTGGTATCTTTCTTTTCCTGAGTTTGGTTACCTGGGACATTCTCTTTGTAGTTATCCTGACGATGCTGGTTCTTCGCATTTGGTTACATTTTCACCTTGTTCTTTCCAGCCTTTTGAGTGCCATACTAGTCTCCTCTACAACTTTTTCTCTAATATATTTTGAGGAATGTGTACATGTGAAGTGACATCCACCTCCTGAATTTATGGAGATTCTTGGGCCATTTTTTCAGCATTTTCTCTAGATCTCTTTTGAACGTAGTTTATCTCCTCACTAGTGCAAATTGTGGTTCGACCAGTTCTCTTTTTGTTGTCGGAGCTATTGATAAAAAACTTCTCCATGTGTTCTTTAGAGCTGATGACATGGGTACCTCATTATTCAGTGCTGGTTGTGGAGAATCCTCAATTTATCATCAGAATAGCACTAAACAAAATCGGTGTTCTGTGAATATTCTAAATTACCAAACTCTTAGTTACTATGTGGAGCTGTTTCTGGACAAATACCTAGTGCTTAACACATTGAACAAGATTAGTTTGTCTTGGCAGTCTGTCTCCAAAGCTCAATCTTTGAAACTAGGCTTCCTCCTTCCTCCTGTGCACAAGTCTAGTGGTTAATTCCTCACTTCTTCTGCAGCCCTTTCATCTTATTTAGTGGTGTGAATTGCATGTTAAAATTTTGGTCTTCTGGCAATTTTGAGGGGATTAAACTTTTGATAGAAGTTGGACATCTGGAAGCTGTTCTCTTGCGCAGCTCAGCATGTGCCTTTGACTCTGCCACAGCATGGGGAATACCTCGTCATTTCGTTTGTTGGTTGCATGCTGAACCTTTTCTGCTTGAAAGCAAACCCAAGATCCAATTTTCGGAAAATGTATACAATATCACATGTTGCTGGTGTACATTTGAGTCGTCCCTGAAAGAGAAATTTGTTGCGATGGTGTAGTAAAACTAAATCTTGCAGGTTATAAATTCGATGAGCATGAGCGTGATTCAGTCAGCTTAAAGCTGCAATTTTCTCGCAATCCTGGTGCTAGGTCAGGTGGAGGGCATCGTGGAAAACGTTGAAACTATGTGTATTTACAGGTGACATGCTAGACTTCGATGCGCTTGACCCTTTATTATCGATGGCCTATGTTGCTCGGACCCTTCAAAAATGTCAACTGGTGCGTGTTGGATTCTCCAAAAGTAGTGTATTTTTGGAGAATCCGACACGGGTGCGGCATCGAAAGTGAAGAGTCCGTGCAACTTAGTTGATGGCCATAACATATGGTACAAAGTTCATAACTCAAACTAAATTGTGGAACTATACTTCTGTGTAGGACTTGCCCAAGTTCGGAGATATATAATACTTAGCGACGTTATGCCGGCTTTGCAGTTTCGTGTGCGATGTGTTTCTCTGATCGGGCGCTTTCGTTAGGACCACCTTGAAACTGCTGGGTTTTATTTTTTTCGGGGGAGGAAGTGGTAGTTGCTAAGAATGCGTTTAGCTTTCGTTTCAACCTCAACTTTACTGGACCCCATGTGTTGTTAAATTTTATATCTGGATGGGCGAGAGATGATTTTACCTCGAATCTTGCGCATAGAATGTTAATAACGTACCTGTAATATTAAGTCAACCTGCTCGTTAGCAGTTTGAAAAGTTGCTTGTCTGATCATGCCATGAATCATTTGAATTCCTTTTTAAATTCGCTACAAGTTATGATCAAGTAGACATTCGAGGGTATTATATGGTGACCCATCAACTTCTGTTCTGTTGATGAAAGAGCTGGGAAGCTTTTCGTGTCAATTTTGATTGTCTGATTGCTGTCATTTAGGTCTGGAGACTTTTAAAGTTGATGGGAACAATCCCTGGTAGAAAGTGTATGTGCCTTCCCATGGTTCCATTTGTTGACAGTTTTGGACTTTCGGTTACCTACTCCAAATAAAGTGTGCGCACCCAAGAAACCATTTTGGGAGGCGGGGGTTGGTTCTGGACTGCTGGTGGTGTGTTTTTATTTGGAGGCTATGAAATCACTTACACTATTGTACGTATAGAGTCTCCCCATGTTCCTTCAGTGTGTGTATCATCCTTTTGTTGTTGGTCTATTACTACGAAGGCGAAAGGTTAGTTGACTCCAGCTCCTCAGGAGTTCACCTCCCCTGACACAATCTGAATGATCTCCCTCTTACAGTTAAAAAAGTGGTTAACTATATTGAAAAAATCCATCTGAAAAACATTACTTTTCCCATTTGTTTATTTTCTTCCTTCAGTGCTCATGAGCGTTTTTTTTGAAATTTACAGAGCCTATTCAGTATGCACTGGGTTGAAAGTTTACGCAGCTTGCTCAGTCCATTAGAAGCTCACCGTGAAAGAAATACTTGAGAATAAAAGAAGAAAATGCATAGTCAGACGACTTGTATTTTTTTTTTAAAGTCCAAATAGATTTATAATTACAACTAAAAGAAAGCTCACCGATATTTTATTTTCCTTCTAAAATCAAGTGTCAAATAATTTGTTATTTAAATATTCGAACAGTTGTCAAACTGCGTACGCCCACTTTAGCTAGTGAAACGATAAAATTTTAGTTTGCCAATGATTAAGAAGTGTCCTGCTAGATTACGTCCTTTGCTTAGTCCAACGAATAAACTCAGCAGCTAATTTCGATGGGTTAGTGTCTGGACAGAATATCCAACTAGTACTCCTAACCATTTTTTCCAGCCTAATTCTGTAAATCTAAATTTAAAATTAACTTCTGTTAGATGCGAATTTAGGATTGGATAGTGTAATTTGAATAGGCGCGATTTATTCACCCTTATATTTACATAGCCTGAGTGAGCTAAAAGCAATTGCTTCAGTTGTGATGTGCATCAAGAAGCAGAAATTTGCCTCAACAAAATAGCTAACCAACTTCTTGAAGCTGATGCCTGATTTCTGTTTGAAGGTGTACAGTAGAGTTACTGAATATCATTCATGAAGATTTGGCTATGATCGGAGACCGCCATTGGCATGGCAAGAACTGTGATCCTACAAATGGTGTGCTTTCAGAATGTGGTCTACTGGGATGAATTCTTCTCTCTTGCTCTCTTTTCGTATTGCTTATTTCATTGATAGTTGTTCAAGGTACAGTTGCAGTTACTTACACCTACCTACAAAGAGCACATTCTGGTAATTAACACACGCTTTGTTTTAGTCCTGCATTGTTTGACATGGCTTTACTCGGAAAATTTCTTTACTGCTCTTTAACTCGAGGATGAAAAAACCTTTTTTGTTTGTTGTTTATAACACTATTTGACTAATATTTCAAAATTTTATCTTTTCCGGAGTGCTACAAATGTAAAAGTAGTCTTGAATACCTTGGTTTTGTTTGTGTTTGTCGAGACCTGTTTATTATACTTTAGTTTTTTATTGGTTTGTTTAGGACTAATTTGAGCTGAGAGAAACTTCAATTCACATTGCTATAATTTAGTCACATTGTTGTTCTGCAGATTGATAGCTTTTGGGGTAGGATCAACAGGTTGAGCCAACAGTGTTTATGGTTTAGCTTTTTGAATGATTAGTTTTGCAAATGTTTCTGGAAAACTCATGTTTCAATGGATGAATCTTTTGCTGGTTTTGACTTGTATCATGCTGCAGGCAGAGGCAGAGCTACAATGTGTAAATGGGTCGAAAATAAATGTACAATATATGTATATATATATATATAATAAATATGTTACTTTCATGTATGTTCATTTCTATATATTGAATCTCGTTAATGAAAGTTCTGACTTTATCACCTACTGTCATGTAAAGGAGATGAGAGCCAGGGTGCAGAGACGGAGCCAGTGTTTACGAAGAGTATACAGTTTATAAAGAAGCAACTAACAAAAATAATTTTAGCAAGTAGGTTCACATCTATTTTGCTCAATTTAACGACTTTATCATCTGTACTGAACGGCGTCAATAATTTGTTTTCCACCAAATACAATCCATATAATTTTTTATCTTCAGTTTGGATTGCTAGTAATTATAAAATACACGGTAAAATGTACAGACTGAAATAATAGATTTATAATTGATGAGTTGAGATTTTTATTTAACATATATCACATATTAAAAAGAATAAATTAATTTATCGATTTCTACTTAAAAATCTAAAGTTATTTTTATCTTTAATTTTGCTACTTCTTAAATTTTTATGTGTTAAATTTGTTGTGTTTTTGCTAAAGAATGTGTGAATATCCAAATCAAAAGTGCCTAGTTCGTTCTTCTGATTCACCTATAAAATTATGGAAGAAAATAAGCTGTTATTTTTTTTAAAAAAATCAGGCCAAACCTCCCGATAACCTACTTAGGAGGGAAGAAAAAGTACAATGATATATGTGTAATTGCAGATAATCTTTTCTTCTATTTTTTTTTTGGTAGGAACTTATTTGAAAATATTATTTTATATTTAATACAAGCAAATATCTAAAATTAAAATTTCAATTAAATTTAGTAATTAATAAATATTTATTTTATATCAATTTACATGACATACTTTCTTGTCCCAAAATGATTTTTTTGAGCAACTTTCACATATAGCAAACATAAAAATCATATTTGTATGCTATAACTATAGTTTGCATAATTGCGCTCCATAGCAAACATAAATATGTATATTTCACTATACATATACAAAAGAAAGCAGTTGTATAATCTGTTTCTATTTCGGTATACATATACAAAAGATCAATTGTATAATCTGTGTTTGTATAAAGCGAGAACGAGAGAAAGACAAAAGAAAACTTATAATCATAAGTGTATAGAACGAAAAATATATGCATTTGTATTTGTATATACAATTTTCTCTCGCTTTATACAAACACAAACACAATGTATACATTTGTGTTTGTATAAAGTGAGAGAGGCGAGTGAGATCTGGGAGAGTGGCGAGCAAGATCTGGAAGAGGGGAGAGAGGGGAACGAAAATATATGTATATATATAATTTTCTCTCGCTTTTATGCGTTTGTGTTTGTATAAAAGCGAGAGAGGCGAGTGAGACTGCCAGCGAGAACAAGAGTGGCGAGCGAGATTCACCAGGAGAGGGGCGAAATAACAACAGTTTTCTATGGGGTACAATTAAATCAAACTATGTTTATAGCATTTAATTTGAATTAATAATTTGCTATTATATACAATTTTATGTATGTTTCAAAATGAAAGTTATCTATACTTAGAAATAATTTAACTTTAAAATTACACTTTTATTTAATTTTAAAGTATTAATTTTTTCTTTTTGATAAAATAATTTATAACTATAAAAATAATTAAATAATATCACATAATGTGATGGAGGAAATAATAGCTAAAAAAGTAGTAGGTTTGAGAGGGGGTGGAGAGATAGGAAAAAAGAATAAAAAAGAAAGTTAATAGAGGACCCACAAAAAAACTCTTTGAAATTTGTATGACATGGGTTTTGACTAATAATGAAGTTAAGAGAAGCAAGGATCAATCCTTCGACCTCGCTGTCTTTCACACACTCTTTACCACCAAGCCAAAGGCTCTAACCATGTTAAGGATGTGCAAAACATTAGTATATATTGACACTTCAATAAATTTGATCTACTATATCATATAAATTTTTGACGAAATTAATTGTTTGCACATTCTTGGTTAGCTCTAGCTTCGCTCCTATTACGATTGCGTAATTGTATTGTTCTTCCTATAATGTAACTTTGTAGACTAGACTTTAGACTTGTTATCTGAAATGTTTATCATATTTCTTGGATTTGTTAATTCTATCTTGATTCAACAATTATATTCTACTAGCAAGTCATCCTTGTAAATATGCCAATTAAGTATATCTCTATTTACTTCTTAAGACAACTAACACAAATGGCTGATTGGGAGATGTTGATGTGGTTCGATATGAAAGGAAAAGTTTGGATGTGACTTATCTGTAATATATAACACACTCATCTTTTGTGGGGCAGAAGAAGGATGACTCAGATATCTGAGAGTAATATTGATCTTGTTTGAAGGTATCTTTGAGTTGCATATTAATTGAAGGAAGAGTTTTCTTTATTCCATTAATGAAGTAACTAACATGGAGGCAATAAACACAATTCTAGGTGGACTAGGATGCCTTTGAGTGCTAGATCAAAATCTAAAGAGACCTGGAACAATGTTATAGAGAAATGTGAGAAGAAATTGACCAGATTGAAGGGGCAATACTTGTCTCTTAGAAGAGGGGTAACTCTAATTAACTTAGTCCTAAATACTATACCTATTTATATGATGTCCTTATTTTCCATACTAGCAGGGGTCATAGACAGGTTGAACAAGATCAGAAGGAAGTTCCTATGAAAGGAAAATAAAGACATGAAAGATTACAATCTGGTAAAGTGGAAAGAGTTGATATTAGGAAAATTATATGGGGGTCTGGGCGTTAAAAATTTGCAGCACCATAATAAGACCCTCATAATGAAATGGTTGTGAAAATATACTAATGACAAACAACTATTACTAGGAAAGATCATTAAAACCAAGTAGGAAGGAGAAAATAGGTGGATGACAAATGAAGTAATCTCTCCATATGGTGTGAATCAGGAGACCTATAAGGGCCTTGTGGGATGGATTCAAGAACAAAATCAAGGTTAAAGTTAAGAATAGAGAAAAACTAGCTTTTGGGGGAGATAACTGACATGAGATGGGTGTTCTGAGAAATATTTTTTCAGATATTTACAACTTAATGCTAAATCAGCAAAGAACAATTGTAG